TTTACTTAAATGAAGTTGTTTTTGAGTCTTTTTGTGTGGTAATTGTTTTTGAATGAATTTAAATGGTTCTCCAATCAAAACATTATGAAAACCACCTTTCGGTTTTGTCTTTTGGTAAAAACCACCCGTGTACGGCATTGACTTGGTCAACCATGGTTTTTACCTTAACGACGTGGCTTTCAACTTACAAAGCTTGTTTTGACATCAAAATACATTAAATAAGTGTTTTAAATACTTAGTTTTTACTTTGGAGAACTTTGCATTTTTTGGTCGGGTTTCAGCACCGGTCGGCTAAGCCATGGTTCTGGACTAGCCATCTACCCAGCGATGGTAGATTTCACCCATGCATGGGTAAGTGATCCCGGGATTCCAGAATCATGCCACCCAGCGATGGGAAGATCTTCCCATCGATGGGTAAGCAGTCCCTCAGCGAAACTGATTTCTAGAACCATGCCAAACAGCGATGGGAAGTTCTACCCATCGCTGTTTAAGCCTTGGTCCAACATTTTCACAAGGAAGAATGCCCTTACCCAGCGATGGGAACCTTTACCCATCGATGGGAACCCAGCGATGGGAGGGCATACCCATGGCTGGTTAGGCATGACCGTTGTGAGTCATTTAAGGCTGATTCTTTCCTTATTTGAAAGTCAACCTCCCACCCAGCGATGGGAAGCATCTACCCATCGATGGGTAGGTGACCGTTTCCTTCAAAACTGAAGGAAAATTGGCTTACCAGCGATGGTTGAGTCTAAACATCGATGGGAAGCCAATATCCTGCAGATCCCAAATTTATTCCATCCCATAAATCAAGCCAATCACCCCTTTAATGCATCAGTCCGTTGGAGCCTACTTTGGCACTATAAAAAGGAGTGTTTGGGTCTGCTTTATACACCAAATCACTTCACAATATTCACACTTTCATTGCATTCAAACAACATCATTTTTCATAGCTTTCTAGAGCCAAATTGTGTGAAGTTTGAGTTGTTCTTGAGCGTACTTAGTTTACTCATCATCTACTCTTAAAGAGAGTTTTGTTCTTGAGTGTTTAGTGTTGTATACACGTTAAGGGAAGCTTGTTTCCCTTGGTTGTACAAAGGAAAGGTATTTTCCTTCGGGTTGAAGTCTTGGAGTGCGGTATCTCCGAGCAAGTGTTGTTGAGGCTCGTGGGACTCAATTTCTCAAGTTGTAACGGTTTGTTAAGCACCCGTAAGCTTAACGGAAGTAGTGTAGCTCGAGAGAGTCTCTCGGGAGATTGGACTAGCCACACGTTGTGGTGAACCAGTATAAATCTTGGTGTGCTCCCTTTACTCCTTTTTATTCCGCTCTTTTATTTATCCTGCAACTCTTATTCCACGAAAAGTTATAAACATTCTCGTGCCTCACTATTCACCCCCCCTCTAGTGAAGGGCACCTATTCTAACATGTACCCATCGATGGGTAGGTGACCGTTGGCTTCAAAACTGAAGGAAAATTGGTTTACCAGCGATGGTTGAGTCTAAACATCGATGGGAAGCCAATATCCTGCAGATCCCAAATTTATTCAATCCCATAAATCAAGCCAATCACCCCTTTAATGTATTGGTCCGTTGGAGCCTATTTTGGCACTATAAAAAGGGGGTGTTTGGGTCTGCTTTTCTCATCAATTCACTTCACAATTCTCCTACTTTCATTGCATTCAAAAAAAAACATTCTTTTCCATAGCTTTTTAGAGCCAAATTCGTGTGAAGTTTGAGTTGTTCTTGAGCGTATTTAGTTTAAAAGAGACTTTAAAAGAGAGTCTCGTTCTTGAGTGCATTTGTGTTCTAAGACACGTTGAGAGAAAGTATTTCTCTCGTTTGATTCAAAGGAAGGGCTTTTTCCTTTGAAGGATTCGTTGAGGTTCGTGTGACTCGAATTCTCAAGTTGTAAGGGTTTGTTAAGCACCGTTAAGCTTAACGTGATAGTAGTGTAGCTCGAGAGAGTCTCTCAGGAGGCTGGATTAGCCACAAGTTGTGATGAACCAGGGTAAAATTCGGTGTGCCTCTTACTCTTCTCTTTACTTCTCTTTTAAATTTTTAATTCCTGCGATTTCTTCGATCAAACGCTATTCACCCCCCCCTCTAGCATTGGTCTATTATTCTAACAATCGGGATTCTAGTTCTGAACACTTCAGTCCAGTAATCAGAAAAAATTCCAATAGAGAGTATCCAACGGGAACTCTATTTACTACAAACCACATCTCATGAGCTCCTTTACCTCCCACATTGGCCTCCCTAACCATCAACTACCATAACATGGTTGGAGGGGGAACAAGTTGGATATCCAAGAAAGCACCAAAGGGAGAATTTCTCCTGAACTCTTCTATGATTTCCATATGATCTATCAACTCAACCTTCATCAGTTTTTGGAAGTCTGGTAGTGACGACTTCACAGTCAGCTCCATATTTGGAAATTCTTTCACATTTACCATTGTCTTGATCTGCGAGACCTATATAAAGGCATATAATGTGAAAAAATTTCATACGGAATTAGATAAAAATAACTAGGGCAAATGTCGACAAAGGTCGACCTTTTGTTTAGTTGACTCAACGTGTTTTGGTCAACAATCCAAATCTTTGATTGATTATGTTTAGTGATTGAATTGAAGATAGAACAACTAGTTTATTATCAAATTTCTGACCTAAAGATTTCCTTGAGTGGACTTTGGGGTTCCGCTGTGTTGTGCCGCTGTCTTTTCGGCATGCTTCCCATCGCTTTCACTCTTGGAGATCGACACAAAAGCATTCTTCGTCCTCATTGTAGAAATCAAACTGTTCTTGAGATCTTTGAATCTTTGGGTGGAGCGGGTTTCGTTAAACTTTTGGAGATATAGAAGAGGTTGGAGAGAGATCGAAAACTTAAAGGTCGCACGATGAAAGAAGAGATGTTTTGGGAGGGTTTTTGTGTAACCTCTTCCGACGTCGTTTCACCCATTCTTCTTTTTCGATTTTTAGGAAGCGCGTCTCCTTTACACGCTTGGACCTTTCTGTTAATTCAGAGCACTGGTAATACTCCTCACGCCCCATGGGTTATGGAGCTTTTAACGCCCAGGGGGCATTCAGGGCGTTAAAGACCGCCCCCTGGGGCTTCACCGAGGCGTTATGGCGCCGGCGTCAGATGTTTGACGCATGAATTCCCCCCTCCCAACGGCTAATATAGCCGTTGAACCCAAAAAAAGAAAAAATTAATTAATTTTTTTATAAATTTCAAACTTCTCCTCTTCCTATTCTTACACCTTCAATCTTCTTCAATCTTATTCACATCTTTTTCAATTCTCCAACTATCTTTTGAACATGAATCCTTTCGACTCCAGCTTCTTCCCCGACGATCTCAAGCCTCACGAGCACGCGATGTGGTATTTTCAACAATTCGGGCAACAATTCGAGAGTAATCTGCCGATGTTCGAGATGCAACAATCGGGGTACGTCGAGCGAGAGTCGATTCTAGAGACTCAACCGGGACCATCCGGCACCAAAAAAAGTGCATGACGGAAGAGCCACAAAGCAAAAGGCACGATGACCGAGGTGGCACGGTCAATCCAAAAATGGATGCTGGAGGAAGAGTGCTTATTGGCTTCGGCTTGGGTTGACGTCTCCAAGCATCCTATCGTTGGTAAAAATTACTCCCTCCGTCCCACTATATTGGTCCACTTTCATTTTTGCACACCATCCAATACACTTCTTTAATCCATTTTATCTTGTAATTTGTATATTAAAAAATTATAGAAATTATATATTAATAATCTATATGTTAAGACAAATCAAACAAGATCACGCATGACTATATTTAGGCTTACACATTGAGAGAAGTTGATGAGTCAAAGTGATTAGATGAATAGTTCCAAAAGTCAAAAGTGGACGAATATAGCAGGACGGAGGGAGTATATATATGTTTTCTAATATATTTATGTTTTTATTTATATAAAATTATATATAATCGTGTTATAAAAAAATTCTTGTTATACTTTTTTAAAGGTTCGAAGCAAACAAAGGATGCGATGTGGGACCGTATCGAGGAGAAGTTCTTCACGGCGATGAACAAGGACGGCTCCTACCGTACCCGGGACCAACTTACTTCCAAATAGAGCCACATCAACCGTAAAGTCCGAAAGTTTATCGGAGTTTACGAGGAATGCGCCCAGTCCCGGAGGAGCGGGACGAACGACGCCGATGTTCTCCGGCTTGCCACGACCCGGTATCAAGATGACGGGCACCAAGGCAAGGTGCCCATCGATCTTTAGAGGATTTTGAGCTGTTCATTAAAGTGGCAATAACTCAACAATTCCAACGGTGGATCATCAAAGGCCTCCCTTCAACGTTACGGATTCCAATGACGAGGACCCCATTCCACGGCCGATCAGAAGAAAGAAGGCAAAATCCATTGCCTCGGGTTCTGGAGGGTCTGACTCTGTTTCCATTTCTTCTCGCGACGATATCAGTCGGGCAATGGTTGAACAACTTCAGGTGTTCAATATTCGAGAAGAAGAGAGGATGAAGCGAAAGGAAGAGAAGGACGAGATTGAAATCATGGAAATCGACCTTTCTACGTTATCGGCCTTCAAAAGTATGATCTTCGAGAGAAGACAAAAAGAGATCAAGGCCAAATATAATTTACTTTAATTTTTTAATTAATTTATCTCTTTTATTATTGTCGCTTTCTTTTTTTAATTTAATGAATGTAATTTTTTAAAATTATTGTCGTTTCAATTTCTTTAAATTTAATGAATGTATTTTTTTTAATTATTCTTGTTTCAATATAATTAAATAATAAAATAATTAAATTTTATTAACTTAGTTTTAAAAGATGTATATTTAAAAATGTAAAAAATGAAGATTTGAAGCCCAGTTTGAAGCCCGAGACTTCATACTCATTACTCATTTCCACATAGAGAAATTTTGAATCTCGTGGGGGCTTCATGGTATTTGGGTATTTACAGTGCTCTCACCCTTTACGGGATAGTCCACAGTATTTCTTTTGCGCCTAGAGGGGAAGAGTGTTCAGACTTCCAGCTAGCTAATGCGGAGTACGGAGTATCTTCTTAACTTGAAGTTGACACTTGAGGCGATTTCTGGGCAAACTACCACCAGACCTGATACCTCTGTAGTTTCCTCTTCACAATCCTCTCTCTAGCTCTTTCAGAACTTTCGAACCTGAGTCTTTATTTTGTTAAGTTTGTAAATGAACACAAACCCATTTCCTCTTTCAGTTCAGTTTTCTGATTTTTCTGCTCCAAAGTGACGGTTTTGTTTCCACTGCTCTTAAGCCTTTTTTTCGGGAAGCTATAAATTGACATGCGCATTTAGTTGTTTGTGCTCTGCTTACATTGGAGAGGTAACATATTCTTCATTGCTTCTTGTTTGGCATGGACGTACTGATTTATTGAAATTAGGGTATCTTTTTGCTGAAGGAGGAGCCTGGAATATTCCACTGGTAATAGTAAAAGTGGGCAAATGAAGGAGAGCGCTGTTCTTATTTATACTCATGATGCAACCAAGAATGCCATTTTTTGATGGCCAAGTTGAAGCAATCTTCTTAAAGGCTGGATGTTGTAGAATGTCAAAGGTTATGGGGTAAAACAATTGTTTAACTGTACACTTACGTGCTGCTAATTCCGAAGGCGTATTAAGTCTCACAGTACAACTGCTGGCTTTGTTTTGAGTAGTGATTGCTTCTTATACTGGAAATTGATTCAAGTAAGGTGGAGGTTGTGATAAAGCGAATTTGAAAGAATGTCCCAATCCAATTCTTTTGAAATGTCTGAGAGTTCAAAAGAACTTCGGTCATTGGCATTGACACCGACATGGTCTGTTGCTTCTGTGCTGACTGTATTTGTTGTTGTATCACTGCTTGTGGAGCGATCCATACACAGACTATGCACTGTAAGTGATAGCCCTGCTTTGAGTTTTAGATTATATATTATTCACCTTGAAAGCTTTTGTTTCTAGAAACTGATGAAATAACAAAGCACCTTGCTTATTTGTCCTTGCGTGGATGGCTTTCATTGTTGTTATCATAGAATCACAACTTGAGACACAAAAATGCTTTTGATGAATTCGTGTAACTTTTCTTTTAAATTTCAGTGGCTGAAAAAAACTGATAGAAAACCTCTGCTTGCAGCTGCAGAGAAAATGAAAGAAGGTACTTGCTGTTCGTTAATTTATGCTGCAACTTCTGAAATGGTTCACTCTTTGACATCATTCATATCTCTCCCTCATCCCACCCTGTTATTTTGTTTTTGACAAATCTAATTCAAAATCTTGTTTGAATTTTATCGAACAGAGTTAATGCTACTTGGCTTCATTTCTCTCTTACTTACGGCCACCTCTAGCATCATATCCAATATTTGCATCCCATCAAAATATTATGAAAGTGAATTTGCACCTTGCAAGAAGTCCGACATTGAAGAAGAAAAGCAAAACAATGATTTCAAGGAGCGAAAACTTTTGATGGGCCTTATTCTCCATCATCCTAAAAGAAGAATGCTTAGTAGTTTGAATCAAAATACCTGCCCCGAGGCATGTAAGACTATATTTGGTAAAATATAGTTTAAATTTGTGTTATGCAGTGATAACATGAGTGATAAACTTGTGTCTGAAACGAGAATAAAAGGATTCATTCGTTTGCTGCATCTTGACACCATTGCTTTATGTTTCTCTCTCATTCAAAGTATATCATTCTTTCAAACAAATGGAGTTTAAAGTTATATATATCATTTTATGCAGACTCATGAACCATTTCTATCATATGAAGGCCTAGAGCAGCTGCACCGTTTCATCTTTGTCATGGCCATTACTCATATCTTTTATAGCTGTCTAACAATGTTACTGGCTATTATCAAGGTTGTGTTTTTGTTTGGGTCAACAAACTTGTGTAAAGTCCCCTTCTCAGTTTTAAGTCACGCCATACTAATGTGTCGGATTTTACGTATTTTGGCCGTTTGGTTTTAAAACAATGCGCTAATACATCTATTTATTTCATCAGATGGAATGATCACAATCTGATTGATATCCTCCTTGCTATGTGTGTTGCTTTCTGTTCATTACAGATTCATACTTGGAGGGTTTGGGAGGATGAAGCTCACAAGGACCAAAACGGGGCATTAACTGGTAAGTTGTCACTGCCTGGTTGAACCTACAAGTCTCCGTATTCTTGTTCTTAAAGTTAAGGGTCTGTTTGCTTACATTTTCCCAATTGTGTTTTCTAGTTTTTTTTTTCAATTCAGAAAACATATAGACCAAGAGATATTTCGAGCATAACACATGTAGAGTTGAGTGTACTTGTGGTGATACTTGGAAAACAGAAATCATGCTTTATGATTTCTGTTCTTTTATCCACTTCTCAAAAAATAGAAAACATTTTGAGTTAGTGAACAGTTCAGTTAATTACTACTTGCTAGTAAAGGTATACCTCCCATCCGGCTTTAGTTGTCGGCTTTTGAAAAAAATCTCATTTAAGAAATTAGTTGAAAATAACAAATAAGTCATTCAAATGATTGTGCCCCTCATTAATTTCAACAAAGCTCATACCCTATCGCTAGGATATTTTAGACAATTTATTATCATTTCTTTATCAAATTTATTATCATTTCTTTATCAATTTATTATCTCTAGGATATTTGAGATCTTAAATTTGGATTTCAAATTCAGATTTGACCCAAATTACATGTTTGGGAATCCAAAAAGTTACTATTTTGATTTGGACCAAATTACTCTTATTTCCAACAAAGCTCAATTACAAATCCATTTACTCCCCCTTGTTATATGAAATTCAAGAATTCTAATTTTAAAATTGAAATCCAAGAATTCAAATGAATTCCTAGTTTCCAAACATTACCTTATTGAATTTGAAAAATGAACAACTAATTCCAGACAAACAAAAAGAAGAAAATGGACAACTAAATCTGGACAGAGTGAGTAAATATGATCTTGCAATGAAAGTGGAGGATCAGTGGCAAATTTGGTGTCTCAAATGCTTTGGCTTGCCACCATTAATGTTTTACCTAGGAAGATTATGCAAGCACTGAATTGTAGACTTGGAAAATGATGATATTCTTCATATCATATTGAGAAAATTGCATTTTTGGTCCGATCCCACAATACAGCAGCATAGTATATTCGGTCCCCCATTTTTCACGTCACAATTTTTGGTCACCCGGTTGTTTAATGTTATTGTGCTTGTAGTCCCTTTATCTGTTTTCTGATGGATCCTATGTTATGGGCGTGGGAGTCCTGCAATAGAAGAATAGGTCTCTGAGGCACAATAATAGATAGGTGAGAGAACGAGAATTTGGTGAGAGGAAGAAGAGAGAATTTTAGGAATGAAAAATAAACTTCTTATTATCTTCTCAATAGGGCCCAGGCCTATTCATAGGTAAGATCCAACTTACAAAGAGCAAAATACTTCATATGGTAAAAATAGAGTAAAATAAGAAGAAAGGTAAAAATAGGTACTCCGTATTTAATAAAGTCTACAACATTCCATCCCCCTTGGCCTAAGCTTTGTCCTCAAATCTGGAAACTTGGAAACTTCTGAATAAGTGCATCTGACCACTCCCATGTAGCTTCTGTTTCAGTCATTCCTTGCCATTTGACTACGAGTTGGACCCCTGCTTGGTGACCCTTCTTCTGGATTCTTCTGTTAAGAATAGCCTCTGGTTGGGGTTGCTCTTGAGAGTCCAGACCCTGAAACCCCAAAGGAATGTGTTATACCCAAGCTTGAGGTAAGCTAGGATATAAACGTAAGAAGAGAAAGAAGAAGAGAAGGAAGTAGAAATATAGGGGAGGCCGAATTCAAGAGGAAAGAAAGGAGAGGGAAAGAAGCATTTATCAAGGGAATAATAAGAGGAATCACTCAACTCTTACTGTTAGGCTTCAACTCAAGGTGGAAGGAGGGTGAATCAGGGCTGAATGGATTCAGGGAGACAGTAGGTGTCTTGGGTTGGTTTTGGAAGAAGATTTATGTAAAGAGATGGACGTATTTAGAGGAGGGATGTCCTGATAAGAAAATGGCAGCAAAGGGAGGATAGGTTTTAGACTATATTTTGTGTAAGGAAGAGTGAAAATGAGTTGTATTTAGAGAAGGGAATGGAGGGGCTGAGTTGAAGTAAGAAAAGGGGCAGGAGTTTCTGTTGGTGTTTTTTTTTTGGGGGATAAACCAAGTTGGTGTTTAAGAGATTTTACACACTCTTATCCTTACTTGGGGTTGGAGTCTAGCATTCAAATAAGATATTACACACTCATTTAAATAACTAGAACCTAAAACTCACACTCAAGAGAACCACTCATAAGATATAGATTTAGGAATTTAAATAGCAAACACAATAAGTGTATTACTAAAGAAAAGGAGAATACATTGAATGGATTTGCAAGGCCCAAGGCCAAAATAAAAATACACACACAAGGGAAGCTACCAAGCATCTCCTTCACACAAATCTAAAGGAATAACAACCATTTATTAATGTCCTTTTGGTAGGGAAAAATCAGAGATGAGGATGGGTTTGTGGGGCTGGAGTTTCAGTTTTAGTGACTGGCCAGGCATGTGTGAGTGAAAGCCATACCTTGATTGGTTTTGGGTGAGGTCTTTTCAGCCAAGTGGGGAAAAAAGAGAGGAATGGCCTGGCTGTCCTTTTGGATGTATATCCTGGGTGATATGCAGGGAACAAGAGAGGGTGGATTGGGTTGGTGGTGCAGATTTGTTGGGGAACATAAGGGGGGACAATGGCGGGTCTATTATGTGAAATAAGAGGGGTTTTTGGCTGGTATTTTCATCCCTCATATGGGGGAATGAAGTGAATTAACTGGTTGTGGTTTGGCAAGGAATTTTGGCCAGGAGTGTATTAATTCAATGAAGGGACAATGTGGGGTTCATAGGGTGTGGTAGTGTTGGCCAAAGAAAATAAGAGGCTGGGTTGTTTGGATTTTTGGGGTTTGATTTTTGTGCAGGGGGGGTTTTCAGCCTTATGGGGGTGGAGAAGTCCAAAAAGATTATGTCTAGGTTTTGAGGTTTGTTGATGAATCCATTCCAAAAAGGATCATAATACCTAGTCATTATTCCATTGATTTGTTTAAGGACTTTTAGATCGTTGGTAGTACCCGGGGATATATCACTTACCTTCACTCAGGTTAACTCTAGTATTCAAATAAGGACTCCTCAACTTATTTGATATATCTAGAACCTAAAACTCACACTCAAGAGAACCACTCTTAAGATATAGAATTAGAATTTCACTTAGAGAGAAAATTGAGCAAGGAAACTATATTATCCAATATAACAACACAAGCTGCTTATTACAATGAGGGAGGGCCGAATATATAGGCCATTAAATGGAGAAACAATACAAACAAACATGTTTACATAATGAAGAAAATACAACAAAGGAAACTTCACTCCACTTTCCTACATTTCAAGTGATTAATGTCCATTTGTTTTATCCTTAGTGGGTTGAATATTATGGATGTGATGGGGGGACTTTTGAGGCTTTCCTTGGCTGTATTTTGATTGGGGAATTCGGCCATGTGAGGTAAGGGACAAGGAAAGAGGGAGGCTTGACCAGATTGCACAACAAGACAAACACTATTCAATCAATGAGTTAGTATTGATTGTGTTTCGGCCTTACTCATGGGGAAAGGGATTGTGTTTTGTTGGCTTTTGGGATGGAATTTTCGTCCATGTGGGGAAAAGAGGACAAGGAATTTGATGGAGAAAGTCTTTTGAATTAAAAAGACAACAAGACAAAATCAGCACTATTCAATCAAGGAATTTCTTTTCCTGATTTTGTTTTCTGGTGTGAATTGTGTTTTGTCTTGGTTTAAGGATGATATGGCCTGATTTTTGGGACAAATATTGAAGGGAATTCGTGGATATGGTGTAGGAAGGAGAGGGGAAAGGTATTATCTAATGAAAGGATTTAAAAGAGGAAGAAAACAACACACAATGTTTTTGCTATGTCTTTTAGTCCTCATTTTCGTCCAATGCTATCAAAGGAGGAAAAAGGACTTTATTTTGAATATCAAGAGGAGATAAAATACTTTTGGATGTTTGGGGAGGTTTTGGGCATGTAGGGGTTTTGGCCCTAGGATGGGTTTTGGGAGAGAAGGGTTATGGTTTGGGCTTTTGGATGGGAAGGGTAAATGAATTCAACCCAAAAAGGATCATAACACCTAGATATTAATCCCTTGACTTGTTTTAATGTGTGTGGCGTGGCCACAAGGCTTGTAGGAGCATCCCGGGGTATAACAGAATGTGTGGTGCTGCCGGTAAATTCTCCCCTAAAAGTTTTCAGCTGGAATACATGGAACACTGAATGTACTTTCACGTGCGGAGGAAGTTGAAGCTTGTATGCTACCTTCCCAATCATGGAAATGATCTGGAAAGGTCCAAAGTATTTTGGACCCAACTTCTCATTGGATCTCTGTTGTACACTAGACTGCCTTTAAGGTTGGAGTTTGAGCCAAACACAATCTCCCAAGGTAAATTGCCTGTCAGTTCTGTGTTGGTTAGCCAGCTGTTGCATCATATTTTGGACCCTTCGCAATTGAAACTTCACTTGTTTGATGACTTTGATCATTTCTTCTCTCTTCTGTAAGGACCTATCTACCGCCTCCACATTAGTTTCTCCCGGTAGATAGGGCAAGTGGACAGGTGGGGGTTGGCAATACACAGCTTCATAGGGTGTTATATGGATAGATGAGTGAAAAGTAGTGTTATGCCACCACTCAGCCAAAGGAATCCACTTACACCATTCTTTTGGATTTTGGGAGCACATGCATCTAAGGTAGGTTTCCAAAACCCTACTGACAACCTCAGTTTGCCCATCCGTTTGAGGGTGGTAGGAGGTTGACAATAGCAAATCAACTCCATGGACTGCAAATAGAGCTTGCCGAAATTTGCTCAAGAAGACAGCATACCTATCACTGACTATACTGTTAGGCATCCCATGTAACTTGAATACATGGTCCAGATAGCATTGAGCTACTTCGATGCTGTGTAGGGGATGGGTTAAGACCATGAAGTGAGCATATTTACTCATTCTGTCTACTACCACAAAGATAACATCATTTCCCATTGATAGAGGCAGTCCTCCTATGAAATCCATAGATACATCCCTCTAGATTTCACTAGGAATTTGAAAGGCTTAAAGCAACCCAAGATAGGCCGCATTGTCATATTTGCAAGACTGCCATATCACACATCTTCTCACAAAATGTGACACATCCCTGTTCATCCCTTTCCAATACATGCTCTTCAGCCTTCTCAGGGTGGCTTCCCGCCCAGAGTGTCCTGCTACTGGTGATGAGAGACCCCAACTTAGCAACTTAGCTTTAAGGGTCTCATCATTTCCCACCACCAATCTTCCTTTCATTCTTGGTTGATCTTGATTCCAGGTGTATTGATTTACTAGCAGCCCCTGTTGTAACTGGTTCAGTATTTCTTGGACTTTAGGGTTTGAAGACTTACTGCTTCTAATGTCTTCTAGCAGCGAAGAGTCAGTAGTAGAGAGGGCCAAACATAGAATCTCAGCTCCAGTTCTCCTAGAAAGAGCATCTGCTGCCCCATTTTCTTTCCCTTGTTTATACTGGATCTCATAAGAATACCACATACGTTTTGATAACCAAAATTGTTGGAAAGGAGAAGAAACCTTGCTTTCTAACAGCCACTTCAAACTCTATTAATCAGTTTTAATTATAAATGGCTGGTGTATCAAGTACTGCTCCCACTTTTGAACAGCAAACACCACAGCTAGGAGTTCTTTTTCATAGATAGATAGTGCTTGCCACCTGGGTCCAAGAGTTTTGCTGATATATGCTAAAGGGTGTTGCTCTTGCATTAATACTGCTCTAATACCTCCTTTACAAGCATCGGTCTCCACCACAAAAGACTTGGAGAAATCAGGTAAGGCCAACACCGGCGTGGAACATAATGCTTCTTTTAGTTGATGAAAAGCTTGGGTGGCTGCTTCTGTCCACTCCTAAGGTCCCTTTTTCAATAAATCTGTGAGTGGTCTACTGAAGAAGGCAAAATGCTTTACAAATTTTCTGTAATAGCCTGCCAAACCTAAAAAACTCAGTTTTTTGGGATTAGTCGGGATTGGCAAGTCCTTCACAGCGTTAATCTTGTTGGGATCAGTAGACACCCCTTGTCCTGAGATATAATGCCCCAAGTACTCCACCTTTAACATCCCAAATGTACAATTACTCCTTTTGGCCAATAAGTAGTTCTGCCTCATGATATTGAAAACCTCCCTCAGATGTGTATAATGAGCTTCCCAGTTAGGGCTGTACACTAAATCACTAATATATCATCAAAAAACACCAATACAGATTTATGGAGATACATCTTGAAGACTTGATTCATCAATCCTTGGAAAGTTGCTGGAGCATTAGTGAGGCCAAATGGCATCACTAGAAACTCATAATGTCTATGATGAGTTTTAAACGCTGTTTTGTAGATATCTGGAGGGTTCACCCTGATCTGGTGGAAGCTTTCAAACCAATTTTGCTGAAGACATAAGCTCCTGCCAATTCATCAATCAATTCCTCTACCACTGGAATGGGAAATTTATTTTTGATAGTTTTCTTATTAAGTTCCCTGTAATCTACACAGAGTCTCCAACTACCATCTTTCTTCCCTACCAAGACCCCTGGTGAGGCATATCGGCTGCAGCTATGTTGTATTATTCCACATTTCCACTGTTTTCCATATCTTTCACCAGCTGCTCAATGATGTCCTTCTGTTTGGTGGGGTATTTATAAGGCCTTATATTAACAAGAGTGGCAGTGGAGTGTAGGGGTATTGGGTGATCAAAGACTCCCCTTGAAGGAGGAAGCCCTCTTAGTTCTTGGAGCACATCCTCATACACTTCCAACAGTGCTTGCATATCTTTGGATACTTCAGGAAGATCACCAGCCATAGAAGTAGACTTGCCCTCCCACATATTAGTGGTGACATGCAGTAAACACAGCTGACTGGAGCTGTTTATAACTTTTGTGAGTTGGCTAGACCCCACTACTGAAACATGCTGTTTCATACCTCTTAAAACCTGCTTGCTTCCTGTATATGAAAACTTCATCTCCAGCTTGCTGAAGTCCCACTTTACAGGTCCTAGTACCCTTAACCACTGCACCCCCAGCACCATATCACAACCTCCCAAAGGAATGAGCAACATATCATATTGAAATATAACTCTGTGAGGCTTCATTCAAACTTGCTGCACATAAACTTACATTAGAGTTGATAACCATCCGCTAGTATTACTGCTTTGGTTGCAATAGGTTCCAGCTTGCAACCTATTTTCTTAGCCAAAGAAATGTCCAAGAAGTTGTGTGTGCTTCTAGAATCAATGAGAATATGCAAGGGGTTTCTGGCCATAATATCCTGTAACTCTCATCATTTGAAATCCCTGATTACCACTGAGGGCACTAACAGATATTAAGTGGTTGGGTAGTGCCATTTGACAGTCTGTGTCACAACACATTGACTCCTCCTCTGTCTCCTCTTCCCCACTGGCTTCAACCAAAAACAATTGAGAACCTTTGTTTAAGAATTTATGTCCCTTTTCGAAAGGTTTTTCACAGTAATAACACAATCCCTTAGCCATTATTTTTGCCCTAACTGTTGCCGGTGTAAACTTGGGTTGATTCACCACAGGCAGTGGATTGGATGGCTTAGTAGCATTAGGAGTAGGTAATAGGCCTTTGCTGTTATTAAATACAGGCTTACCTGCTCAATCTTGTACTTTAATAGCTTGTACTGTTTCCTCTTGGCACCTAGCATACTCAATAGCTTCAGTGATGGTTTCAGGCTTGAAAGCTCTCACATAAGCTTTAAGGTGAGGCTTGAGACCCCCGATGAAACTATCTAAGAAGTGATCAGCAGGGAGTTGAGAATTCTTCATCAACGTAGATGCCCTCAACTCTTCAAATTTGTCAACATAATCCTCTAGACTCCCTGTTTGTTGCAACTTATTAAACTCTTCCACAATTTTAGATCCACTTCTATCCTTGAATCTAACACTCACATCCGTGACAAAATCCTCCCAAATGATATTGTTTTGCCCCATAGTATAGCTATTATACCATATTTCAGCCTTTCCAATCATGTATAACGAGGCTAGATAAACTTTTTTTGCATCAGGGATTTGGCATAGCATAAAATACTTCACACACTTCTTAATCCAACTTCTCACATTAGATCCATCAAATTGAGGAAATTCTACCTTCGGATTGAAGTGTAACTGCCTGCGATTTCCGATTTCAAATCCCCTTTCATGATTCTGGTTGCTTTCAGGTGTTGAAGACAAACAGATTTTGTTGCTCCATCTGAATAGTGAATCCCCTCTGTTAGTCGATCAAGGCCTTCAACGCTTCTTCGATCATTGCCATCTGGGCTGCTTTCCGTCTAGTCAAGCTCCATATTCGTCCTCAGGAAGACCTGCTTTGATACCACTTGTTTTGGGCGTGGGAGTCCTGCAATAGAAGAATAGGTCTCTGAGGCACAATAACAGATAGGTGAGAGAACGAGAATTTGGTGAGAGGAAGTAGAGAGAATTTTAGGAATGGAAATTAACTTCTTATTATCTTCTCAATAGGGCCCAGGCCTGTTTATAGGTAACATCCAACTTTCAAAGAGTAAAATACTTCATATGGTAAAAATAGAATAAAATAAGAAGGTAAAAATAGGTATTTAATAAAGTCTGCAACATCCTAGCTAATGAAGGACTAAAATTGCAGTGATAATGCACATAACACCAGATATTTTTTTTTGTAACTTTGATGCTTTGATTAAAAGTGACTTATATAGGGAAATTTGGAAATGACTATTCAAGTATTTTTTTCTGGACTGCAATGAACTAGGTGCTACTTTTTTTTTTTTAAACTTCAACTATTTTTTGTTTTTCAAATCCGTGTAATGAAATTAAACCATGGTAAATGTAGTCAATTTATGCTAATAAGCAAATTTTAGTGGCTTTAGAATTTAACATTTTTAGGGCATGTCTTTCATTGCAAGGTTTCAAAGAAAAAAAGTTTCTAAATTTTAAAGCCTTTAATGCAAGATTTAAAGTTCCCTTGTGTTGATTTTTTGAATTTGCATTTAATTACTTTTATTTGTTCAAATTTATATGTGTGTTGATTACATTTTTTTTGTTTTTTAATTTTTTAAACAAGTGCCTATTTCGTTACAAATATTGCATTACAAAATATGAAAATAACACTAGAACATTGTTTTTAAAAAATTTGTAAAGAAACCCCCTTTTGATAAAACATTTAACTTACAAAGAATATGATGCTATTATATGGTAAAACTTGCATATCTAATCACTCACCGTTAAGATGTTATGGAAAATAAATGCAGCATCAAGTAACAAGTGATGGATCAAACACGGTGACACAAATATTTGAGAGAGAGAGCACATATACTATTTTTCTTTAACTTGGAATCCGAAGATGCAATTTCTCCATCTTTTGTTGATTTTTCTTTTTTGTAATTGTTCTGGCATTCTACAGATAGGACAAGAGCAATGACAATGCGAAGGCAATCAACTTTTGTTAGAGTCCATACATCCAATCCTTGGTCCAGAAATAGTGTTCTTGTATGGGTGGTATGTGTAATATCTAGTATGTCTCAATGCTAAAGCATATGTTTCCCATGCTCAAATAGTCAAATGTTCTTCACATTATGTAAAACTAGTTATCATTGTCCCTCCTAATGAAAGACTTCCCCTTATGTTAGTTTTGGCTATGATGGATGCACAATGTAATGGTGTATTTCATTGTTGTCAAGTCGTCGCCTAGGCCACGACTAGTCGCCGACTAGTCGTCCGGGCGGTTTTGGGATGACGCTTTGCTCTTCGACTAGCGCCTAGGGCAGACTAGGCGATAAAGCGTGCAAAGCGCCGCTTAGTCGCGCGTAGGCGACACCTAGTCGCTGAAAGAAATTGCCCAATTTGACCTAACCCAAGTTGACCCGACCCGACCCGACCCAAATTTCATTAATATTTAAAATTCCGATAAAACACGGCCTCCTTTGACGCAATCCATCCAATTGATAGTCAATCCAGGGTCGCGACTCTCCTCCATCACTGACGTCTTCCAGTTCCAGCAGTTCCCTGACTTCCGTCTACATCTTTAAACATAAGTTTGCTTGGGTTATGGTATTTTGTCATATATATATATATATATATATATATATATATATACTCCCTCCGTCCCAAATTATTTGCCACATTTGCTTTTTCAACAGTCGCGGGAACTTTTGTTTATTTCTACGTTTTCATTGGTTATTTGATAAAATAAAATATTCTTGACACATCTTATTTCGAAGAGCTTTTCATGTAGTTTTTTGATATGTAATTTTTATATTTTATTTCTTTACCAATATGTAAATAAAATGAATTGAAAAAACTTGATATTTTACCTCAGTAATAGAAATGTGACAAATAATTTGGGACGGAGGGAGTATATATATATATATATATATATATATATATATATATATGGGATTGACTCCAGTGAGATGACACATTATGGTGAGATGACATGCTTCGGTGAGATGACGCAAAGCTCACCACTGCCCACTGCAAAGCTCATCAAGCACAACTACAAAGCTCACTAAACTGTAAGGCAAAGCTCACCATATTTTTTCAACACTTTGAATTTTATTTTGAAAAAATAAAATCAAAGGAAGAGGTGCAGACTAGATTTGACTAGGGGTGGGCATTCGGGTTCAGGAACCGCGGGTCGGAACCGAACCGCCACGTTCGGGCCGTGTTAGGTCTGGGTCGTCTTTTCAAAAATTTAAAACGGTCCGGGTCGGTCCGGTTCCTAAAGATTTTAGGGTCGGTCCGGTTCCTCATTTTGAAATTGTTTAGGACTTGGACCGGACCGTTTTTTTAATACTAATATTATTTTTAATATTTTTTTAGTAAATATATGGTATACCCGCCTATTCCAATTAATTTTAGTAACTCTTTCGGTCCTTCCATATTCCAATCGCAGTGCAGAACCGCAGAAGTGCATAAGTCATGTTCAATAAATGAAGCTAGTTTCCACTGAATTAGAAAAAAAGTGTATTATTGAATCAAAAGTCATTTGCATATTTTTGTGTGTGGAATATGGTTGATTTTAAAATATTGTTTTTTGCAGGTTTTTTGGATTTTTTGGAAGCCATGAAAATTGTCAATTTTGCTCTTTTTGAAACCTATTGACATTATAATGCCAAAATGTGGTTGTCTTCTTTTTGTTGTTGTTGTTGTTGTTGGATGATCATGGGGTGTACACTTTACTCTCATGCCCGTCTTTGTCATTGTTTTTTTCATTTATTCCTCTTTTTTGAACTTTCTATAATTTCTATTTGTTTTGAAGAATGTTAGTATCATGATAGGTTCGGACCCGTTGACCCGTGGAATCGGCCCGTTTCAAACAAGCCGGGTTAGGTCCGGTTCCAATTTTAAAATTTTGAAAACCCGTTCCGGCCCGGACCGTTTTAATAAAAACAAGCCGAGTCCGGTTTATATAAATTTGGACTCGGACCGGCCCGTGCCCACCCCTAGATTTGACCGTTTACTCCAACATTGACCGCCGCCTGCCGCCGCCGGTCGCTGGTCGCCAATGCGCCGGTCGCCGGTCGCCAATGTCGCCGGTCGCCCCCACCGCTGGTCGCCGGTCTCCGCCACCGCCAGTCGCCGCCGCCACCGGTCGCCGGTCGTCGCCGTTCGCCGTCGCTTCCAGTTTATATAAAACACCCATATATATATATACGTGTACATGTACGTGTACGTGTACGTGTACGTGTACGTGTACGTGTACGTGTACGTGTACGTGTACGTGTACGTGTACGTGTACGTGTACGTGTACGTGTACACACACACACACACACACACACACACACACACACACACACACACACAAACACATACACATACATATATATATATATATATATATATATATTCATGTTGGGTTAATGTAGATATATATAATGTTAAAAATTTCAATACTAATTGTGATTTGTCGACTAGTCTACGACTAATCGCCTAGTACACTAGTCTCCCCGTCACCAACTCGACTCGACTTGTCGACTTAACAACCATGGTGTATTTCAAGCATTAATGAGACTGTCCTGCACTTTTTTGTTAGGTGTTCTGAACAACAACAACAACAACTAAGCCTTATATCCTAAGTAACTTGGGGTCGACTACATGAACAAAAAGTAGAATCACGTTTGGTCATTCACAGAAATGTTCTCTGGCCATCTCTTTCTTTCCACTACTATACCCTCGTCCAAACTCAGAGCAATGACCATGCGAAGGCAAATAACTTTTGTTAGAGTCCATACATCCAATCCTTGGTCCAGACTCCAGGAATAGTGTTCTTGTATGGGTGGCATGAGTAATGTCCCAATAGTAAAGCATATGTTTCCTATGCTCAAATGTTCTTCACAGCATGTTAAACTAGTTACTATTGTCACTCCTAATGGAAGACTTTCCCTTATGTTAATTTTGGCTATGCTTGATGCACAATTTTATTGGTTTATTCTAGCATTAATGAGAGTTTCCTCCACATTTTTTGTTTGGATGTTCTGAAAAACAACTAAGCCTTATATTCTAAGTAACTTGGGGTCGACTTCATGAACAAAAAGTAGAATCACGTACAGAAATGTTCTCTGGCCACTTCTTTCTATCCATTACCATACCCTTGTCAAAACTCATATAAGACAAATGTGGGGAACATCTCTGGTTACTTCTCTCTATCCATAACCATACCCTTGTCCAAACTCAGATAAGAAAAATGTGGGGAACACCTTAATAAAGTTCTTATCATGGTTCATGTCATAACATGTGACAAGGCTTTCATGCTTGCTATCACAGGCCTACTGCAACCCCCCTCCTTAAGCCAGGCTTGGGACCAGTTCTTTCACAGGCAGAGTTTATGGGTGTTTTGTATGACTTTTTTTATTTAAATTTGAAAAAAAAAACTGGAATTTGAAAGAACTTGCAATTGATTTCAACTAGCATGTGTCTTACATCTAGTGTATTTTGAGTAGAGAGTGTGAATTTACCCCTAGAGTTTTATGTCTGAGCACATGAGAGTTACCAATTACGATAAACATGTCTTATTGCTTGGATATTAACTCCAGCACATCTCCCAGTTTTTGTTCCATTATAGTTACTTGTTTCTTGCTATGTGCTTCTGTGTTACTCCAGCTGGGAGTTTCTTGGGAACAGCCTCTCTACTTTCTAGTAGGTGTAAGGTCTGCGTACGCACACCCTCCCCATACCCTACTTTAGTGGGATTGAACTGGGTTGTTGTTTTTGTATAATTACGTGTTTCTTTTCAGTTAATTTTCTTGTTCTAAATCTGCCTAAAACAAGGATTTCTCTGCCTAAATCACTTGTTGGGATTTTACTGTATTGGTTGTTGTTGAAATCAAGGACGTTTTTTTGAAAATGTTTATACATTTTGCAGACATGTTTCTTCAGGCAATTTGGGCATTCAGTAGTTCGTGCTGATTACCTTACACTACGCAAGGGTTTTATCATGGTATGGCTAAAACATCAATGTGTTATATATTACTGATGAACTGCATACTTAGTCTCGAGCGTGCTGATAGAGATGGGTAAATATGTGCCCCTTGAGTTCAATAACCATCACCCTTAGTTAAAATTCTACACAAATGGTTTGGTTTAATTTGAAATTCTTCTTGAGGAGGGAATGATACAAATACTATTTCAAAAATCTTTGGTTTAATGTCAATTTCTTATTACAGTCTGGACTTTGTCTTACTAATTTCCATCAGCTATATTATATTCGGTCTAGCTGGAATTGACTCTATGTTGTGATGATTTGGTGAGTGAAGTGTATCTGCCAGATTACTTGGGTTTTTCTACTTAGTATGCACATGCTAATTAATAGGTCATATGCTCAAGCATAGATACAAAGCCACTCAAGATAGAGGTAAAATTGTGTACATCTCTCTCTCCCCCACACTCATTGTCCATATTTGCAGTGAGTCTTTTAGGGCATCCACTTAAGAACTTTCTAGGAGTTCAACATAATTGGTCCTTCTTTCTCCTTAATTTTCATGTTTAATTATATTTATTTTTTTACGCCATAGTTTATAAAAAATGATCTTGTGTTTCCTCTTAGTTTATTTGATGTTCAAAGTAACACTGCTTGTTTTCAAGCTTTTTGGCATTTTTTTTCCTGGCAGAATCATAACCTTACATCGAAGTATGATTTTCATAGTTATATGATTCGATCCATGGAAGAAGAGTTTCAAAGAATAGTTGGTGTCAGGTAAACAGAACATCTGGGAAGCAGATATTTATACTGTATCTATGACATGGTTGCATATCATATACATGGTTTACCTTCCTACCTTCTCAACTCGATCCTTCATCTAATAAGATTTAGCGAAACAACAGGATTAAAATTTCTGGTTTATTGCAGCTGCAGTTGATACAATGGAAATTTGCATATGATTGATTTTGACATCTAAATTTTGTACTTTTGTAGTGCACCACTATGGGGATTTGTGGTCACCTTTATGCTGTTTAATATCAAAGGTATAAAATACTCCCTTTGTCCACCATAGATCTTCCCAGTCATTATTCAGTCATTATTCACAGGGTCAAACTTCACTCACTTTGTTTGCTCATTTTTACTAGTCATTTTGTAAAATAATATAGTCTTGTCACTTCTAGTTTTGTAGAACTTTTCATGTAGTTTATTACTATATAAATTTTATTTTAAAATTTTACTCCTATAATCAATTAAAATGAATCAAAAATAAAGTCGGTCAAACCTCGTAACGCGTAATGGGAAGATCTTAGGTGGACGGAGGGAGTATTACTTAGCATAAGTATTCAAGTTGAGAGAAGTGATTATTCAAGCTGTTTTTAAACTAATAGGGACTGCTTGCCCACCTGTTGTGGTAGATATTAGGCTTGGGCAATATGCTTATCCTCATTTTGTTTATTTTGCAGGATCTAATCTCTATTTCTGGATTGCAATAATTCCAATTACTGTGAGTTCAGATCCAAATGACTATCAATTAGCGATGCTTTTGCTTGAATTGAAAATGAATTCCGACACCCTGGGTTGAGAACTTTTTTTCTTCATATGAATATGATGTGAAGTGTTTTTGAAATGCATAGGGCTTATGGAAAAAAACCATGACAACCAAATCTGCTTTCCTCTGAAGAAATTATGTTGTCACACCTACAAATAATTGCACAAGACATAGGTATGCATGAAGCGGGATGTAAGGGTGGGGGCGGGGGGCTAGAGGAAGATGGACTCAGTTTATATCTATCCCAACTTTATTATAGGTTCCAAAAGGGTATATTATCTCACATTAAAATTCATTTGTTTGAAATATAGTGCCCATTCGATGACATTATATAACAGCAGAATTTAGCTTTAACAATTTTAAGTTAAACTGCACCATTAAAAAATTATCCAAATTGCTAAAGCTAATTGAAATCGATGTTCCCAAATGAGGCCTTTTTTAGTGGTAGGGGCAAAAGCCATTGCATGTGACGAACTGGAAAATAATTTATTTTGGACTTTTAGTAGATAGATGGAAGGGCGGGGTACATATTCTTAGAAACTACGTGCGCGAATGAGAAATTGCACTTTTCTTTGTTTCATGCAAAAGGAAAATAATAATTCTAATGTGTCAGAAAACAAGAAGTGTTTAGGTCTTTCATTTCTGCATATCTACCTCCTGACTCTACCATGTACTGTCAGCTTGTTCTACTGGTTGGCACTAAACTGCAACATGTCATAGCAACTTTGGCATTGGAGAGTGCGGCGAGCTCTTTCCAGGGAACTAAGCTAAAGCCAAGAGATGAACTGTTTTGGTTCAAGAAGCCAGAATTACTGCTATCCTTGATTCATTTCGTCCTCTTCCAGGTTGATAATTTACTTTTTGACTGGTTTATGATTTTCATTTTTTCCCTTTTAAAATTTGATGTAACTTCTCCATTTCAATGATTGTGCTGAACATGTGGTGCTTCTTTCATTGCAGAATGCATTTGAGCTTGCTTCCTTCTTCTGGTTCTGGGTAAATCCTGTTGCTTGCTGCAGGATACATTCTAGCTAGTTTCATTCACATTGTAATATGTTTGTCTTAATGAACGTATTTTCCGTGTTGGCATTATTGTTGCAGTGGCAGTTTGGCTATAATTCGTGCTTTATATTTAACCACACACTGGTGTATCTACGGCTAATATTAGGGTATGAGATGTTCCAAACCATGTTTCCCTTGTGATGGTTTTTTGAGGCTAATTCCATTGTCTATCACTCAGGTTCGCCGGACAGTTCCTATGCAGCTATAGCACCTTACCGCTCTATGCACTGGTTACTCAGGTAACTTAACAACACACGGAAATATTACCCCTAATTTGTTAAAATAGAAAACACAACTAATCTTCGTGGTGCATTGCTCGCTCTACCACCAGATGGGAACAAACTATAAGGCTGCCCTTATTCCTCAGAGAATAAGAGAAACTATTCATGGCTGGGGGAAGGCCGTGAGGAGGAAAAGAAAGCATCACACGGTCGACGATTCAACAACTGTGCACACTGATGACAGCATGGTGTTGTCCATTGAAGAAGATCACCGGTTGCTCGACAGCCGTAAAACATCTGCAGCTATTATTGAGTTACAGCATGTCAGTGTCAATGCTAATAAAACATCCAGTCATCCTGGTACACCTCTGCTTGGACCCTGTGCTTCCTCTTCTTCTATTGAAGTTCCACCCATGTTCCTTCCAGAAGTAATCACACGATCCTTTTCGATGCCTATAAGAAGAGAATAACCAGAAAAAGACTAACACCACGAAATCCAAAAATTTCTAAGGGAGGTTATTCGTGTAATATGTGTAATTTTATATGTATCAGAATGGTGTGTAAAAAGATAATACTTTTCATGTGCAAGAACCGCATGTAGGTCATATACACTATAGGAGAATTGATGGAAAATCATTCTCAAGGCATCACCATTGAATCGAGTTGGAATGGGTTTTACAAATCAATGTGAATTACAAAATATATACACTAATGATGGAGGTTAAAATATAAAATAAATGATGATGATATAGTTATTCTCTTTGTCCCAAAAAGAATGTCACACTTCACTATTTAAAAATATTTAAAATATTTGTTAATTTGTACTTTTTATTTATTGTCGCTTCTTGTTTTGTAGAACTTTTGGCATTCTTTATATATAAATTTTAGAGTTTGAAGTGTAGAAAATTGACATGTAAAATTTTAAGAATTTTATTTTAATGACACGTCAGTTTACATGTGTCCTATGCCTATCGCTTCTACGACTAAAACGCGAATCCTTTCCCAAAGAAAGAAAGTGTTGTCTTCTTTGCTTCTTCATCGTGCATCTTCATCCTAATTTTTCTCCAAAACTACAGGAACTTTTTGCATTATTTCATCGTGAAATGAATTCTACACCGGCTGTATTGCGAAAAACCCTATTTGCGTTCCGAAATTTTCAAGGGCTCAAGAACTAGGTTTGTTTCCAAAACTCATATGCAATTCTTATTCAATTGATAACCTTGTGTATTCTAATTTTGACTCACGATTTCCATGATTGCGATCCCAATCATATTCTCGAGATCCCCAATTTTTTCTAGTAAATTCATCAATCCTGAATCAGCTCTTGATTCCAAGAATAGAAGAAATAAGCCTTTAAGCGTGCTTGACATGCACTCCTCGCACACTTGCACACTAGAGTTAATCTGAGAATGAGAATGAATTTTAATGATCCAATCTGATTGTGATTGGAATATACTCTATATTCTATTTTAGAAGAATAGAGCAACATCATATAAATTAAGTCCAGAATATACTTGTGTATAGTGGATGTTTGTTTTACATTACTGTCATGGCCACTAGGTTTGACTTAGTATTCTGTATCCCTGAAACAGACCGAGGTTTTCTGAGTCAATTGTGTGTTTGACATGTTTTTGGGAGTAAAGAGTCATGTTTCTAATTTTTCCCATAAGGCAGTGTAATAATCTTTCTAAATAGTCAAGAAGTGAAGAGCTAATATTAAATGTGTTTTTCTTTTTGGGCTTGTGTTTTTGAAGCTTTGAAAATTGATAAAACATTCAGAGTAGGAAGTGTGCCTTCAATGCCTTTTGATGACCAAGTGCATGTCAGTTGTCAGATGACAAATGGTTTTCCTTTCAATTCAAAAACACCTCCTTTCAATTTGTAAATTTGATGCCTTAATTAGAATCATAATACGCCTAGTTACATACCTTATTTCACCAATTGCTTGATTTCCACAGTTATATTATACCTATATATAAATTTTCTGAACAAACAATCCACCACGTACACCCCTTCTTACGCAAGTTTTTTTCCCTGCAGATCTAGACCTCTTTTTACGGCTGTCATGTTTAAGACTATTCATCCTTTGTGAAAAATCACTCCGACGGAAGAGTGTTGGAGGATCATGGTTTGTGTAGTAAGACTATATACCCTACCCGTAGTATATACTGATGAGAAGACCAAGAATTCCATTGAGATGATGTTCATGGACAAACACGTAAGTCGAAGACTCATAATCCACCCTATCATTCGTTCGATTTTTTTAATATTTATACTATGCCCATTATGGAATCGGAGTTTTGATGATGTTTCTTGAACTCATCTAATTGGTTCTTTTATAGCACTATCTACATCCTTTTTAAGATCATATGACTTAAATGTATTCTTTCTCACAAATTTACATGCTACTTACAATTTTTTGAAAAATTTTACAAATGTAAGTTATTAAAAAATGCCTTTACCGAGCATTATTAGTATATATTATGACTTAATATAATTTTATTACAAAAGCCTTAAATCTAAAGATGATGTGGTTGACTTTTATTGATGGTTTCTTTTAATGATGGTTTTCTTACGAAATCTTGTAGGGAAGTACTACATGTGCCACAACACGAAGAAGTTTGGTTGGAACTTAAGAGTTGTATTACAAAAGCCTTCGTGTTATGAGTTATATTACCAAATGTTTATGTGTGGCTTTTCTGGTTGAAGTAGCTACACATTCTTTTATGAAACTGTTCGCATCAATCACTTAAATATTTCAATTCTAAATACAATTTCTGTCTTTTTGCATTATATATATAGGAGGTTATTTTCTTTATTACATGTTAGATTCATTAAATGAAAAACCTAGGGAAGATGTTATTGGATGCGAGTATGACTGTAGTTTCATTTCTTTTATTCAGAAAGTCCTCTATTGGTTTAACTAGCTCAGTTGGTTTCAATATCTTGACTAAGGTCAATCAACTCCTTTTTTTTTAAGTTTTATTAACTAAATATATGAAATTACACATTACAATTCAAATTGTGTTAAGCAGGCCAGATTTTCTGATATAATTATTGTTTCTCCTGATTCATTTTATCTTTGATTTTCCCACTTAGAACTGTACAACTTAGAATCTTATGGGCTGAGAAACAATTTTCGCGGAATAAAAATCGCAGGGATAAAATAAAGAGCGGAATAAAAAGGAGTAAAGGGAGCACACCAAGATTTATACTGGTTCACCACAACGTGTGGCTAGTCCAGTCTCCCGAGAGACTCTCTCGAGCTACACTACTTCCGTTAAGCTTACGGGTGCTTAACAAACCGTTACAACCTAAGAACTCGAGTCCCACGAGCCTCAATACACTTGCTTGGAGATGCGCACTCCAAGACTTCAACCCGAAGGAATATGCCCTTCCTTCGTACAACCAAGGGAACAAACCACCCTTAAAGTGTTCACAACACTTAACCACTCAAGAACAAAAACTCTCTTAAAGAGTAGAATATGAGTAAACTAATTTAGATCAAGAACACTCTCAATTCCTCAAGAAATGGCTCTAAAAAGCTATATAAAAAGTTTATGGAATGATGCAATGTAAAGCTATAAAATGTGTGAGGAATGGTTGTGAAAAATAGACCCAAGAGACCCCTTTTTATACCCAAAAACAAGGTGCAACGGTTGGGAGAAGATTGGGGTTGATTGGCTTGATTTGTGGAAATCAAATAAAAGTGGATCTACTTAAATCTAGCCCGACAGCGCTGTTCATATAGTGAACATCGCTGTTTTGGCTTTGACTTTCCTTAAAAAATGGCTAACGGTCATCAAAACATCGATGTCTAGAAGCCTACATCGATGTTGGGGAGTTTGACTTTCAAAAATGGAAAAATTTTGTCTTCAATAGCCCAACGGTCATTTGAAAACATCACTGTTCAACAATGAACATCGCTGTTCAAAAACCTACTGCCCAAGACTGACGTGAGCCAATCTGGCCAAAACATAGATGTTCAAATCTCAACATCGCTGTTCAGACATAGATGTTCAAATCCCAACATCACTGTCCAGGCATCTATGTCCAAGATCCTACATCTATGTTGGGCCAGGTCGCCAGAACCATGGTTTAACAGCCAACACCGAAAACCGATGTCAAAAACCAAAGTTCTCCAAAATGAAAACCAAGAGTTGGAAACTCTTATATAATGTATTTAATGTAGAAACCAAGTATAAAAACTTAAAAACCACTTCATTAAGTTAAAAGTCACGGCTAGCCAAGTTTATGCCGTTTCACATGGTTTTCAACAAAAGACCAAAAACGAAAGGTGGTTTTTAACATGTTTTTGTTGGAGAATCATTTGGATATGCCCAGAAGTAAAAACCAATCATAAAATATTAAAAACCACTTGACTGATTTGGACACCAAAAACCAACGCCGATAACCAGCGCCGAATGCCGATAACCAACGCCGAAAAAACAAAGGTTATGGTTTTTGAAAACTAATGATTTGGAAAACCTTTTAATGTGTCCAGAAGCTTAAAACAAGGATAAAATCCCAAAAACCATTTGGTTAAAATCAATGCCAATAACCAATGCCGAAAACCGAACGCCATAGCTGAACGCCGATAACCGATGGTTATGGTTTTGGTTAAGCAAGAACCATGAGTTTTAGAAAGTTAAAAACATTTATGAAAACACTCATTTGATGCATGAAAAACATATTTTGTTTTGAGCCATGACGTAGAAAAATTGAATGAGCTTGTTACAATAAAAACCTAAGTATTTAGAATACGTCTTCAAAGCGCCAATGTCGCCATCTTTAGCAACGTCAATGCCTTTCTTGTGCTTTTTGTTTCTTAAAAGAACTTTTTCTATCTCTTTGAATCTTTTCATTTTGTTCCATGTTCCCGACGGTTTGTCAATATCAAAACCTAAATGGAAACAAACATTGTCATTAGCAAAATGTCAAAGTGAAAATGTTTTCCAACAATTTTCCCCTTTTTGATAATGACAAACCAAGGAGGGGATATGCAGGCCAAGTTGGGTTTTCAAAGAGAGAGTAATGG